TCCAGCATATGTTTTACGCAGTGGATGCCCTTCCAGCCACAACCCAGTACTGTGAAGCACCCATCACATGCACACTCATACACTACAGCCAATTTAGTTAATCGATTCCCCTATAGCGCATGAGTTTGGACTGTGAGGGAAACCGGAGCACACAGAGGAAACCCACGCCAACACGGGGAGAACATGCAATGCAACTATTATAATAAATTTATATAATAATTTTATTTTATTCATTCATTTTCTTGTCAGCTTAGTCCCTTTATTAATCTGGGGTAGCCACAGCGGAATGAACCGCCAACTTATCCAGCACGTTTGTACACAGCGAATGCCCTTCCAGCCACAACCCATCTCTGGGAAAAATCCACAAACACTCATTCACACACACTTATACACTATGGACAATTTAGCCAACCCAATTAACCTGTACCGCATGTCTTTGGACTGTAGGGGAAACCGGAGCACCTGGAGGAAACCCATGCGAACGCAGGGAGAACAAGCAAACTCCACACAGACACGCCAACTGAATATATAAATACAGTACAAAAAGTCCTTACTGTTAATGCTGCATACAGTTGAAGTCAGAATTATTACCCCCCTGAATTATTAGCCTCCCTGTTTATTTTTCCCCTAATTTCTGTTTAACGGAGAAAAATATCTCAACACATTTATGAACATACTAGTTTCAATAAATAATTTCGAATAACTGATTTATTTTATCTTTGCTGTGATGACAGTAAATAATACTTGAATAGCTATTTATCAAGACACTAGTATTCAGCTTAAAGTGACATAGTTAAAGGCTTAACTAGGTTAACTAGGTTAACTAGGCAGCTTAGGGTAAATAGTCAAGTTATTGTATAACAATGATTTGTTCTGTAGACTATCAAAAAATAGCTTAAAGGGGATAATAATATTGACCTTAAAATGGGTTTAAGAAAATTAAAAACTGCTTTTATTCTAGCCTAAATAAAACAAATAAGACTTTCTCCAGAATAAAATATATTATCAGACATACTTTGAAAATTTCCTTGCTCTGTTCAACATCATTTGTGAAATATTTAAAAAATATTTTCTGACTTTAACTGTGAGTAATGTTAAGAAATAGGATTTAACAAATTAGAATTATGCATTAGAATTATACATTGTACATTAAAAGTAACCTCAAAAACATTCTAATCCATGTCAAGTGAACAAACTAATGTGAACTAATGGGAGCTTATTGTAGAGTGCTTAAAAACACAAATGCTTCAACAACTTGTTGTATTCAAGGAAACTAACGACAAATATTTAAATAATGCTTCAATTTCAAATAAAAGAAAACTTTTTCCCTCAAACATGACATTTAGCATCTTAATAAACAATAATATATAGTGTAAAACAAAAGAATTGTTCTTTGTTATTTAATGATAGTTAATGCATTAACTAATGGGACCTTATAGTGAAGAGCTAAAATATGCTTAAACACTTTTAAAAAAAGCTT